ACGACCACAGACATAAAATCTGAGACGTATTCATGAGTAGCGCAATCCTACACATAATGCTACACCCAATGGTAGCTCAAACCTTAAAATTGCCAAATTCGTAAACGTATAGATTTCGAAACTCGACAAGAAATTAATCCAAGTGCAAGAATGAAGAAAAAGAAAACCGCCCGGAACCCTGAAAGTCTTGTTTCTTTGATTCTCGGTCAATGGATAAAGCAGTTATATGACATGCAAAGTAAGATTTGCATGAACATTTGCTTTTATTGTGTTCACAAACAGAGACGGACAAAATTCATAAGTCACCAAAAAACCATACCATATAATTTGTGGAACAAGGACGCATATTGCTAAAATCTTAAACCCAAAACCTCAAAATTTCCAAATTCGTAAGCACAAAGATTTCGATATCCGACACATAATACAAGTACCAGAAATTCCTCTTTCTTTGATTCTCTTCAATTTTCCGGTAAATAAAATAAAACAAATACAAGGGAAAAAAAGCATGAATTGGTTACCCTGTCAGAAGGGTCGGTGCAATGAGTGGCGGAGAAGCGGAGGCGCTCGATATCGGGAGTGGGGCCGTGGAGGAAGCGGAAGTCTTGGAGAGAGAGGTCGATTTCGGAGGCGGGAACAGAATAGCCTCTGTCCCTCAGCATCTCCAGCACCGTCCTCCGTGAGAGGTAGTATCTGTGGCTCTCTGCGCTACCTTCGTCTATGTGGCTGGTCAAGCAAGGCCCCAGAATCTCCCCGTTGCTTTCCCCATTCGCCGGCTCTCCCTCCACGTCCATCTCTCTCTCTCCCGACACCAGTCTCAGAGACTTGAACTCAACTGAGAAAAAGTACACTACTTTGCGTTTGGGGTTCTGGGAATGCTACCGTGTGGCTAACCCAGGGGATGGTATCATGTGTGTGTTTCTTTCCGTTTTGGGCTTGAAGCATTTCCACGGTCCAACTGTCCGTGCAAGGCACGGGCCACGGCCTAAACATGCCTCCACGGGTCCAAATTAGAAGGGCAAGTGGTGGGCAAGGCCATTAAAGTGGATAGATTCATCTAAGATAACTCACATCAACCATCTGGGCATTGCATATTAGATGCTGGGAAGAAGGAAAAAAGACTCGTACTTTAGCGAAGCAGCCATTAAGTCCCACACTTTAAGGCCGGACAAAATTAGCATAAAACTATGGTCTGAGTCTGAGCTTAGGAAACTTTTCTGTACAATGTTGCCCACTGCGACGAGACTTGGTTTTAAAGCATAGCACCCAACAATCCAAGTGATTTCCAAAAAAATATGAGAAAATTACAACTTTCCAGTACCAAAAACAAACTCCAATACAACTCTCAAGTACAAAGGAAATCCTAACTACGATTTTGTATTTAATATCAAACAACGGATCACAATGCCATTGATAAAAATAATCTACTCAGTATTCACAATATAAACTTAGCAGCTCTGGATGTCCAGGCCATGCATCCACGCGTCCCTTTCACCGTCTTCTGCACTTGTACAGGAAAAAAGGAGTTGCTGTTATTCAGATTGAAAGATCAAATGACCCAGTTACAGCAGGATCATTTCAACTTTATTATTAGGAAAGTAAAGGGGCATAATTGAAATCAGTTAATCAAGTATCTAAGCTATATCTATCACTAAAATATGATACAGGCTGAATCGGGCCAATAACAAGAAATTCGGGTTGCATCAACATTAATATTTGGAGCCAAAAACCTGCCCTAAATAAAGTTGTATAGGGTACCAAGGTTACGTACTAAATAGCTCCAAGACACATTCTCTCTTAAAAATATTGCTCAGAATATATTGATTCTATTTTTCGCTTCTATTCTTAGCAAAAATCTCAATCGAGATTCCTCTCTGGTGCATCATGTTTGTTTGTTGTGTTGGAGTGCAAAAATAAGGTGATAGCTTGGGTTGGTTGAAATTTTAGGTTTGTGAATCAAACGGGCACGGTGACTTTGAGGATTTTATCAATTTTAGAGAACCACCCATCAGAGCCATCGTTAACCATTGGTTGTTAAGGTGTATTCTCAAAATATCGATATCTACAGTTGTGGAAATAGACGAGGACCTTTCCCTAGTACGACAGGACAGGGAAGGACGCAGCTCTGATGTACTAATTATCGTGCCCTTAGAGGAAAAAGAGTGCATGCATTGGTTTCAAAGTTACAAGATAAAAATTTAAACAATCTATAAAAACATTGCAACAGTTTCATTTCTTAAGTTCACTTGTCAGAGATCGAGAAATTCAATGACAAATCTGCCATCTCATTAGAAAACAATTATCATTTTAATGCTGATATCAAAGTATGTAGAGCAGGAACTCTGTAAAGACAGACAACTAGCAGGAAGAGAAACAAAATTGTTCAAAAATATAAGGCTTGCCCAGCACAAGACTAAAGTAAAGTTATGTAAAAGAACTCAAGTGCAACCATAACATGCACAAAATAAATGAACTTGCGGGCTCTGTCCTAAATGCTTTGTCCTTATTAACCATTCCCAAAATCTTGATCAACCTGGCTTATGCTCGGAAAGATTATCAAGGTTATCTTCTTCGTTCTGATGATCCTCTTGCAATCAAACTATTCAAAAAGTTATTTAACATCCTTTGATGTCGTTAAAAAATGGTAACGTTGCTAAAGAAAAGGGCAAATCGTCAAGGTAAAGGTAGATGAGATTCAAATAAGGTTGCTAATGTACACAAAATTGATGGCTACCTAATTGTGTAACTCATCATTACCCACGTTGTGACTCACTAAACAGAAGAAACAAGGGCCAGTTACAATCTCAATTTATATGGCAGCTAGGTACTTGGGATTTCTTTTGTATATGGGTACAGGCACTAGACTTACAAACAGCCTGCTTTCCAAAGAGATCATGTCTGCAGGATATATGATAGAATTTCTAAATTCCACATATCCCCAAAGAGATCATGTCTGCAGGATACAACACCCTTAGTAATCTATTAAAGACAACAAGAAACTCACCATAAATCAATTTGAACATACTCTTTGAATTAAGTTTGATTTCGATTCTTAGCTTTAGGTAAAACAATCTAAACAATCACAGTTATTTGATTCTTTCCTGACTTAACCAATGAAGAACAAGTAATTTCTGAAGTTATTAAGACTTTCAATGATGCAAATCTAACCAAAACTCTATAAATCCTTCTTTCTTCTCCAACCAAAACTCTACAGTTTATATCCAATTCAATCCACATAAAACCTCAAATTTCGTCCCGGAAAAAGGTGACTGAGGTAATTTTCTTGTTTACCATTCACAGCAACCCTAAAGCCATGAGTTTGTCATTCTTGGAAACCCTAAACAACACATCTTATGGTCAGGCCCTAAGCAGATCATAAAGTGGATTGGCTGGCTCCAAATGGGATAAGCATGAGTTCTTGCCTAGGGTGTGGTTTCTCCAATTTGTGAAGTACCTCTTAAAACTAGTCATTAAATGGATTACAGTCCGGGATTCTCCAATTGTATAAGTTCGGTCTATATGCTTGTAATTACACTGAGAATCATCCCGTGCATTTCTTGTTCGTGTTTATTTGCATTTCATCAAATAACTAAAACTTAAATGGTGGATTGTTCTAGTGATTAGGGCCTTCCTATTCAACCCACTGCGTCCGGCGTTCAAACCCTCCCCTTCCCCTTCCACTTCCCCTTCCCCTTCCCCTTAGTATAGCTTACAGTAGTAATATCGTTTGTAACAGAAAAAACTGATTACCCAGATTACCCAACAAACCCATCACGCCAAACAACGAGACAAAACTTGACAAACATAGGTACCTTTGCTATCCCAAATGGGTAGTGTGGAAATCAAGCAATCAACAAAATTTACGGATACGAAGAGATGGAGGAGGAGGAGGAGGAGGAGGAGAACAAACCAGAGAGCTATGGTGCTTGGAGTGGTGCAGAATCATTCAGCCGACATGAAAAGGGCCAATATCTCCGGTTCTAAGGGAGCCGGCGACTTCATCGGCAACGGCCAAGCAAGACGAAACCCAGCCGGTGAGAGCCAACCACACCATCTTTGCCATCCAAACAGTCACGCCCCATGGCATTGCCATCTCTCTTCTGCTACACTTTCCTTTGCATCTGAGAATCCAATCAATCCCCTCCCACCATTTGAGGTAGACTCAAGTCAAAGAAATCGGAAAGAGTTCATACCAAGGATTTTGTCCTTTCCTTTTTGTGTGAGCAAAATGTTTTAACACGTAAAGTTCCAATTTTAACCTTTTAAAAGAGAGGGTTTGAACCCAAAACCCAATGGATTGAATAAGAAAACGCTAAACACCAAGGCATTCCACTACCTGCATTGTAATTAAACCAACCAAAATATGACACTATATGTTTTGCATGATTTTGCTTGTTTATATTATTTTTCTACTGGATCTCGGGAATTACTTTATACCGCATTATTGATCTCAGTATATTGTGAATATGACCGTTTTACTCAATTCTTCTTTTTTTCTTTGTTTTTTCAATACAAATCAAAACACTATGATATAGAATGAATCAATAGTTTTACATTTGACTGGAATCAAAACAAAAGATGAATAAGCGGAGAATAGAAACCAAAGTATAAGTGAGAGAAAATCTATGGGAATCAAACCCGCATCAGGGTCTATAGACATGAATACCTAAATCAAATTACTCATTGCAGACTCGGTGATTTGAGTAGATTTGTTCGCCCATGCAACAAAGTTTGACTCTCCATCATCGTAATTTAGGTTAGTTTAAAGTAGAACGTCGTTTTGTATAAAGTAGACATTGTTCCCACGTTCAGTAAATAGTATCCACTCTGAACCCGGAGTGCACGTCCGCACATCTCAGATTCACAATGTTGAAGCCTTATTCAACCTTAAAATTAAGAGTCTTTCTAATTGATAGGATAGCGGTCCCTCAAAACTTCGGTTTTCTTTTCTGAACCAATATGAGCACCCTTGAATTCGATCAACAATGTATTGAGTTCATCAATCATTGACAATACATAACTTAACAAACCAGTACGACATACGTAATGTTTTCGAACAAAAGAATAAACATTCATCGCCATAACAAAATACAGGACAGCAAGTAGAATATACCAATTAACGAGACACAGAAACCCTTTAAACCGCCTCAATGAAAAATATGTCAATAACAACAACAAAATCCAAACCCTCTACGGGAATTCGACTTCACTTATTTCTAGTTATTTTGTCATTTCGGTGTCTGACATTCTGAGAAAAACATGGTTCTCACATAACCAAGGGAAAACAGTACACTGAATTTGTTGAGACTCAAGCAAGCCAGACAGCTTATCACAATCCTTACAGCGAGTCAAGTATTTCGGTGATTCAAACACAGGAGGTGGAGCATCAAGCTTGTCAGACATCTGTTCCACGAATCTGTGTACCTCAAGGGACTCTAGCGAAATGAAATCAGAGGCACAAGCGAACTCAGAAATTGCACTTCATCACACATTTAAAAGCTTGTACGAAAAATAACATAAACCATCATTAGATTTACAGAAGGTGATTACATTAGACTAGAATATCGAAGGCCGATATATAGACCTAGTTTAGCAGCATCGTTAATCTATAGGCTATTACTTTGTCATTATTGTTTAATTATAATGCTGATTAATTTAGTAAGTAAGCAAGATAACTTACCTGGAGATGAGAGGATATGAGATGGTCTTGCTGCAGCCAGTATTGGGATGGCCAGAGATGACCTCCGGTTGCTGCTAGAGATTGGCGGCAGGGGTAGAAGGGTGCAAGCTCAAAGATGAGGGCACAATCTAATTATATGGGGCCACTGATGAAACAATGTGTCCCAACCATTGAACTTCAACAACTTAACCAACCATCAATAAGCTATTTGAGGGGGGTTTGATTCCATTTAATCCAGTCCATCAATCTGATGGCCAAAGATGAGTTTGAATGCTTTATCCTGCCCAAGAAAAAAGAAAAATACTGCTTCTGGTGCATTATCCATAAGCATTTTGCAATTCGTCCAATGCCAATCTCCTGGACCCAAGAAAAGTTGGGTACCCAACAGTAACAAATCTTCCTCTACTGTCAATCTGATCTAATCTGCACATCACTTTTCAAATAGTATCTTTTGAACTGTCTGCTAATTGAGAAATTAATTTATGTTACTGAAAAACAATCATCTACTATCAAGTCATTGTACGGGACATACCCAATCTTCTTCATTCTTTCATGAAGATTGCTAAGTAAAGAATATATAACTTTAGATTGACAATGAGACTCATCGCCAACCACAAACACATGCACCTTATTTCCAACTTCTATCCAACTGCACCCAGGTTGCTTCTTCAACCTCTTCTCTTTCAATTTCATTCTCATCTTTGCAGCTTCTCTCCATTTCCCAGATGAAGCATATATGTTACTCAACAACAAGTAACTGCCTGGATTCTCTGGCCCCTCCCCTAAAAGCTTCTCGGCAGCCAGCTTCCCGATATCTATGTTACCATGAACATTGCATCCAGCAGCAAGAGCCCCCCAAACAGATGCTGATAGCTTAGTTCCCAGCTTCTTAAGGACATCAAAAGCCTCCTTAAGCCTCCCTGCCCGACCACAGAGATCAACCAAGCATGTGTAATGATCTTCCCTCACTTCTATTGACCCATCTGTAAGAAGCTCATTAAAATATTTTATCCCCTCCTCCACCAAACCAGCATGACTGCATGCAGAAAGCAGCCCCACAAAGGTAACATCATCAGGTTTGAATCCTAATTTCCGCATTTCATTAAACAAGTTAATCGCCTCAATGCCACATCCATGATGTGCATAGGCTGCGATCATACCATTCCATGAGATCACATCCCTATGAATGGTCAATCCATCTTCAAACATCTTCCTAGCAGTGACTAACTCCCCACATTTTGAATACATGTTTATGAGTGCGGATACCAAGAATGCACATTCCTGATGGACTGTTTTAGTTATCATCTGATGTATCTGTTGTCCCTCACTAAAACCAGCTAAGTTACTACAAGCACTTAACACACTCACAAAAGTTCCCTGATTAGGTTTCACTCCATTATCTGCCAGCATGTTTGAAAAAGTCATCAATGCTTTTTCATTTTCCCCATCTTGTACATACCCTGTGATCATTGTAGTCCAAGAGATGACGTTCTTCCATGGCATTTTCACAAACAACTCCTCTGCCCTCTTTAAATCCCCATTATGAATAAAACCAGTGATCATTGTATTCCATGAAGGTATGTCCCTCTCTGGCATCCTCTCAAACAATTCAAGAGCCTCATCCAATCTCAAACTCTGGGTGTAGCCCGTAATCATTGCATTCCACGACACCACATTCCTTTTAGGCATCCTCTCAAAAAATTCTCGAGCTTCATCAATCATGCCATTTCTTGAAAATCCCGCAACCATTGCTGTCCAGGAAATAATATCCCTTGCGGGCATCAGTTTGAAAAGTGACCTTGCCTCTTCAATCCTGCCACACTGTGCCAAAGCGGTTAAAACTGTATTCCACGAAACCACATTCCTCTCTGGCATCCTCTTAAACAAGTCCAAAGCCCTATCCACCTGGCCATCCCGTGCATACCCATCAATCATGGTGTTCCAAGAAACCACATTCTTCTCCGGCATCTCATAAAACAACCTCTCTGCCTCCTTAATTCGTTTCAGCCTTATATACCCACTAACCAACGCAGTCCATGTAATCACATTCTTCTTAGCATCCACTCTATCAAACAGCCTCCTAGCCTCCTCAACCATCCCACACTTGATATACCCTGTGATCACTGTCGTCCATGTCACCACATCTTTGTCAGGCATTTCATCAAACACTTGACGTGCTTCTCCAACCTTTCCATCTCTGCTTAGTTTGGTAATCAACCAGTTGGATTGTGCCACATTAAAATTGGCACTAAAATCTCTCTCAGGGGATGTGATTCTAGGTGTCACATTGTAGTTCATGGAATGGTATAGACATTTGAGATTACATCGCATGGGAAGGATAGCCTGGGCATAACTCAAGAGAGGTAATCTAGTTGTGTTGCTAAGATGTATCATGGTAATTGGCACTTGTAACCGGGCAAACATTTGGAGCTCTCCTTGGCTCACAAGAATCAAACAAAACACTTCTTGTCTCAATTCTCATGTTCGCCAGTAGTCATCAGCTTGGGAAGCGATCAGATCTGAACACGTGGTTATAAGAAGTAGAGGTTTCATTCTACCTGCTGTTAATAGTCCTCCTAAGTTCCACAGAGTTTCTATAATCCACCGGAAAAATAACCCCAACCGTACTGTTGTTTGCAGCTTCGAAGTATACCTACTGTTCACAAGAAAGGAGTTACGAATGTGGAAAATAAATCTAAAAACAAATGATTTTAGAGAAAACTATATTTTTACTTATAGTAAAAGATCACCAGAGTTGAGTAAAAAAAAAAATGGCAACCCATTGATATCACCTCATTCTAAGAGGCCCATGACCTACAATCACCAAAAGTTAAAAGTTTAAACCGAACTTGCTCAATCTTAATCAATCTTAACTTCTAAACATGTGCAGTCTTATAAATATAATTAGACATAAGATTATTGAACACTTGGATCATAATAATCCATCAACACAATCCTAGAATTTAGGTTCGGTCAACTTCACCAATTAAAGAAACAAGAGAATTCCACAAACTGTAAGCAATAACACTTTCTGAATTTGAGTGGCCATAGAAACAATAAACTAAAAATTAACAGGTTTAACCATTCTGATTAGTTGCTGGAAAATGTAATGATAATATCAAAAAATAAAACTTGACTATTCAGCTTTTATTAATTGGACCTGGATAAACAAAAACCGCAACTCAGCTAAGTAATTGGCTCAGCCACTCAGGCGGTGTTCATTTTTCAGCATTCAAGAAAGTGGCATAAAGTGTTAATAATTTTAAAACTTCATTTCCTTTCCTTTTACCTTATTTTATCTGGAACTAAACGACCTACATCCACAACTCCCTACAGTAAAAGCCCACCAAAAATTCAGAATCGTAAATGAACCCAATCACAGGAATCACTTGAGCATAATTAAAACCTACAATAATAGGAACCCAAAGAACTAAGATTGCGGACAGTCCCTTTGACTATGATCAAATTCATTCGAACATGTAAGTTTCAAATCTTATTGAAAGATAGAGACACTCAATTTTGGAAGAATTAGGAGACAAAAGACAGAAAACCACATTATGCACAAACCACCAATGGGTAAACAAAAAGAACATGCCTATGCAAAGGAACCAGGATAACCGATGCTGACCTTAGCAATTGTAGAAGTAAACACACAATGACTCTACAGTTTGTAGTTTGAAATGTAACATGTGCGTAACATTGAAGGAAAAAAAATATATACATGGTAAGAGCAACCAGATTCTTATTATTGGATTTTATATTTTATTTAAAATTTTTAACCTATCACTGCCAACCTATGTTGCACCGATACGGATACAGATGCAGGTGGCTATATACGGTATGGTGATATGGTAAATCTCTAAAAAACAAAGATACAATATGGCAAGGATACGACAATTAGAATAATATTTCGTCAGTTCATATTCACTATATAAATTATATCACCAAAGAACGAAAGATACATGTTTATCTTCCAACATTAACAAAGTAAACACCTTGAATTTAGAAACTACAACCCAAATTTCTAACTTGGATTATGTACCATGACCATATCTTGGGAGTATCTTAACCGTATCCGAGCCGTATCCCATAGTCAACAACACAATAAAGTCAACGATACTCCGAATTGAGTATCCGTTACGTATTGGGAGGTATTGTGGGGGTGCACGTATCCGATACTCACCCTTCTCCAAATTTGAAGTATCGATGCAACATAGTTGCCAACCTATGCAGACCATTCTTCTCAGCAGAATCCATCTTTACCCCACCCAAATTTTGATACGACCATGTATATGTACCGAATCCAAGTCATAAAACATGTCGGACGAGAATAACTATCAGCAACATCAAAAAAAAATTCATTTTTTATTCTATTTGTATTTTCCTAACTAGTTTTTCTGCATTGACATATCCAACAACAGGATGGTTGTTACTTGAGAATGACAATGTCAATTGCAAATTGCCTGAGATCAATATCAGATACCAGACTAGGCCTCCAAACCTTGATATAAAACTTGCAATTTGACATCTCTTCTGTCGATTGGGATATGCATGAATCGAAATGAAACAAAACGGGCAAAACTTAGTTATTGAAATGAATTCGGATAATGGGTTGAGAGAGGACCTGTAATGCTGGAGATTTCAAAGCCCTGGAGCTGTTGTAACATCCAAATTTTGCATTTGTGCAAGTATTATGCAATGACAGCAACCCATCCAAATTCTGTATTTGTCCAGTACGAATTATGAGGAAATTACAAACAATCAAAAGAACCAGCCACAACAAATTAAAAGCAAGAAAAACACATAAAAATACAAGCTTGCTCTTGCTGCATTAGGAATTTGGGACATCGCATTTGTGGTATGCAGAAAATTTAGACCCATAAAAATCAAAATGTTCATATTCCACCAGCATGCCCACTACTCTAAATTATATACAGATTCCACTTCCACATGTGAAAACTTGAACCAACTCAAAAATTAAAATCAACGTAATTAATTGGAAACGCTAAAAAATAGTAAACAAGTATTTTCTCAGTAAGCAAACAGAACCTAAAGCCAGCAGCAGAGAGGACATGGTGACCGCTAATTCTGGTGGGGAGTGTGAGAGAGAGAGAGAGAGAGGAGACTGGAGATTTTGGGTAGTGAAGGCGCGGCAGAGAGATTCAAAGCTCACTCTCGGTCTCGCCGTCTCGGTAACGGGTTATAGATTTTCTGGTGGGTGGGTCAAAAAGATCCGGTTGTAAAACATACGGATGGAAATATGGGATGAGTATGTACAATTGAGATTACATTTTCGACGAATTACCAAATTACATTTTCGACCTTGCGATTTATGAAATGCAACTTTTGAGCCTTGTTTTTTAATAAAGAAGCAAATTAGGAGATATAATCTTTGAATGATTTGGCAAATTGAAATTGAAGTTGTGATCTCTAAATTAAAAGTCCTGACATTTTGTACATAATTTTGATTTAACGTGGAGCGTTGGTTTTTTTTAGCCACTTTAGTTATTATTTTATCTGAATTACGTCTTAAGAAACACGATATCATATATTTTAAGCAACACAACTTCAATTTAAAAAATGATTATGTGCTTTACATGTGAGCATTTTAGAAGAAAATACTAATGGAAATTATTAAAAGGGCCAATGCTCCATACCAAACGTCACAAAATTGTAATTCAGAGACCAAAGATCCAATTTGGTCATAATTCAGGTACTTTTCTATTTTTGTCATCTTCACGAAATCTAAGTACTTATCCCTTTTTTCTTTGATTTCTTCGGCCTCTCCATAATGGCTAAATGCTAAGAGCATTTTCAATCATGCTCTCTATTTTGTAACAAAGTTTTAGTTAAAATTGTCAAAAGGTTATTTTAAGAGCTCTCTAAAAAGTTTTGCTTCAACCATACTACTGCTTTAAAAATTCATAATGACTATGACTCAATAAAAATTATTTTTTTATTTAAAATAATATTAAATTAATTATAGAGAACCATTATGAACTCATTTCTCCCTCCATGTATTTAGGATCTCTTAAGATGAATTCCTACTCATGAGGTGGATAGGGAGCATGATTGAAGTTGATTTTTTTTTTTTTTTTTTTTTTAAATCATCTTTATATTCTAGTTAGGAGCTCATTTAGAAAGCGCATTGGAGAGACTCTAAAGGTGAATCAAGTTATGTTGAATTTGATTCACTCTGGAGCATTTGCTCCTTTAGCCAATTTTATTAGTGTTTTCACCTAAATTGCGCACATGTGAAGCATATGATATCACCATCTTTTAAACTTAGATTGTGTTGCTTAACAAATTATCACATGTTTTTTTTAAAGTGAAATTTAGACGAAAGTAGTAACGAAAATTGGCTAAAAGACTAAAGGCTGGTTTGGGGTTATGGTGCTTTAAAAAAAATTGGCTTCTTAAAAAATCTAGAACATCAAATGTGTTTGGTAGAACAAAAAAAGTGTTTATGTTTTTTAAATTACTGTCAATGGTTGTAGAAAAGCAAAAGCAGACTCTACCATGCTTTTCAAAAATGTTTTCTTTTCTTTTTTTTCAAAGTATAATGAAGAATGGCCATTTAATAAAAGAGGTGTGTTGTCCACACACCCTTCTAATTTTCGACCGTCGGATCGGATGAATTGAAGAACATCAAAGGAAAAAAATAAACAAATGGTGTGTGAGCAGTAAAATATGGTGTGTGGATAGCACACCCCTTAATAAAATTTTCAAATGGCAAATACCCCGCATATTTTACAAAATTACAATATCTACCCCTACATTACTCTCTTTGGCAATTATTATATCACATTAAATACCATATTTTTAGTCCTTTAAGAGCATTTCCAAAGGAGATGTCAAATTTTGAACATAAATTTTGAATTTGACAGCCTATTTGACATTTTGACATTTTTCAAAATTTTGCTCTCCACCCGGTATGTCAAATTAAATATTATTTTATTACACTATTTTCTTTTCTTTTTATTTTATTAAACTATTATTTTATGCCCCCTTCTTTCTAGACTTCTCCTATCATCTTCGTTCTCTATTTTTTGAATCTTTGTATACCTACTTCTCTTCTCCATCAACAAACTGTCGCCCTCTACCATCACATCGATATACTTGAACTCACCTCAAATCCAAAGGGCACAACCAAATTTTTTTAACCTTTTAATTTCAATTTTTTATAAAATTTGTTTGGATGTTGAGAAAGTGTGGGATTTTAAATTACCGACAAGGAAAGACAACGACTTCTCCCATTTTGATTTGCAGGTGGAGGAATTGTAGCCTAGGGATTGCAATCCATCGGCGAAATAAAGTCTTACATTTGGGTTTTAGGTTGAGATCGTGAGGTTAGTTTATGGGTTTGATTTTGAGAAAAGGGAAAAAGAAGGACGAGCGACGCTTCTATGGTTCGAGTGAGAGAGGAGAGTTGCAGATCTGATAAAAAAATTAATAAAATAACATTTAAAAATTAATTAAAAAATATTTAAAATTGCTTTCAAATTTGACAGCAAGGGGGAGAGCTGCTATTCTATGTTGCCACATCATATTTAGCTTCTCGGTTGGAAAACATTATAGCTGTCTTTTTTTACTGTTATTGCTAATTTGGACATTTTGACATCTCCTTTGGAGATGCTCAAACATATCCATAGCAATTTCGTATAAAAGTTTACTAAACACCCAGGCACTATTTTTTTTTTCTTGTTAAAAGTATTTTTACAAAAAAAATAGATTACCAAACACTTAATAACTTTATTTTACAACTATTTATTATCACAGGACAGCAAAAACAATTTTTTTTAAAAAAATTCTCCAATACCAAATTAGCCTTTAACATTTCTGCGAATAATTCAAGAATTAATTTTCAAGGTCGAAAACGTAATTTAGAACCCCGCAAGAAGAGAGAGAATGCCGCCTTCTCCTCTCCTATAAACAAAGTTGCTTCTCTCTAGGGTTTTACTTCACAGCGCGCAGCCTCGTAAAAGATCAGTTGTTTGCCGCCGTCTCTTCCTCTTCCTCAGTCGCAGCCGCCTCTTCGCAACCGCAACCATGGTAATTCTCCCTCCAATTCCCTCTCCTTATTTTCTGTTTGTTTCCCGAGAAACTGAAAATAAAAGAGAAAGTTAAATTTCTTGTATCGTATCTGCAGATCATTTCGGAGAAGAATCGCCGGGAGATCTCGAAGTACCTGTTCCAAGAGGGAGTTTGCTACGCGAAGAAGGACTATAACTTGGCGAAGCACCCGGATATCGATGTGCCGAATCTGCAGGTGATTAAGCTGATGCAGAGCTTCAAGTCCAAGGAGTATGTGAGGGAGACGTTTGCTTGGATGCACTACTACTGGTACCTCACCAATGACGGTATCGAGTTTTTGAGGACTTACCTCAATCTCCCCTCGGAGATCGTTCCTGCTACTCTGAAGAAGCAGGCCAAGCCTCCTGGCCGCCCATGGGCCCATCCGGTGACCGCCCCCGGTAAGTCGTTTTGTTCAAGCTCCTCTTGTTGTTTTATGCTATTCGGCTTGTTTAATCCTTAAATTCTTATACAACTTTATGTTTCTTTGTTTTGCTGATAATTTGTTATGTTTCTTTAATTCGTTCCGGAATTTGTTAATTTGATTGACAAGATTTGATGCACTTCTCGTTGTTTATGAAGTTCAGTTTGTTTTAATTCTTAAATGCTTATACAAATTTGGTTTTCCTTTGTATTGCTGATAATTTGTTATGTTTGTTTAATTCGTATCAGAATTTGTTAGTTTGATTGATAAGTTTTGATGCACTGCTCGTTGTTTATGAAGTTCGGCTTGTTTTTGTATTGCTGATAATTTGTTATGTTTGTTTAATTCGGATTGGATGTTCTTAGTTTGATTGACAAGATTGATACACTGCTTGTATTGGGTTTGGAGTGTCTGCAATAAGCGGGAATTGAATGAAATGCGAGTAGGATTAATGGACTATTGAAGTATATTTTTTTTGACCTGGTTGAACTAGTAAGTTCACGAGTTGATCCAATATTGGCCGTGTATGAAGAAGTTAATTGTAACCGAATCACAACACATTTATATCTTTGGTTTTTATTCTGCCAATGGACTGACAGATTTGTGCTTCCTTTTATGGTCCATTTTTTGAATGCTTTCTTTGGTTGGAATATAATTTTTGGTTTGGTGATGTTGTGAACAGTGGCCCATCTCGCTTTGATGGAGAACGCAGATTCGGTGGTGACAGGGATGGGTACCGTGGAGGACCTCGTGCCCCTGGGGGTGACTTTGGGGACAAGGGGGGAGCTCCCGCTGATTATAGACCTTCTTTTGGGGTAATTTTTCTGCTGCGAATAATTTGTTTCATATTTAAACTCCCAGGTTCTGTTTGTGTTTTACCATTTGTCGGATAGGGGGTCAATTTCACTTCTATGTCAACTGAAAATTTTATACTTGGGAAATTTATAACCATTTTTTATCTGATACCATCAAGATTTGTACCGTGGACTTGTTAAGCGTCGGTTTAGATAGTATGCATCTGTGTTTTTTCCTTGTTCCGTGTTAAAGCGCATCATATGAAAACCTCCTAACTCATCTTTCTTGTTGCGTTTGTATTTTCAGGGGCCCGGTGGAAGACCTGGGTTTGGTCGCGGAGCTGGTGGTTTTGGTGCAGGTCCCGCTAGCTCTAATCAATCTTAAATGAACGGATGTTAAGAGCAGATGGCATTTTGTATTACGAGATAATAGCAGTTTTGTTTAATTGTTTCTGTTTGAATACCAAGATATTTTCGTCGATGTTTATTTTATTCTACTTTGTGCTTGAATGACACCTTGAAATTATTTTCTTTGGGTCATTTATCCAATCACCTTGTGCTCTAATATTTCTGGGGTTTACAGTATTTTCGTATTACTGCAGCCTACTGTTGTACTAGTCCAAGTTTGAAGGAATTCTGTTTTGGTTTTCCGGTCGAGTTGAACAGAATTCCGCTTGGATTATGCCATCGTACTATAATTGAGGGCCTATCGGAATATTACAATTGGTGGCACAATGTCGATGCCTTGGATACCCGTAGAGATTTGTTTTTACAGATTAAGAGAATTTGTTCTCTGGATGGTTCGAACCGAAGAGCTATGACACAGTCGCGACTACGGTAGTATGCTCTGCTCTCATGCGATCAGTGCTCCATTCAAAAGACTCAACAGTCGCGATTATGCCAAGCTGCGACGAGAGTTTTGCCCTTTGCCTTCGAAAAAAGGACGGTCTTTGTCATGGAACGATCAACAAATATGAATTAATATAAAGATTAAAGTATAAGATTTTCTACCACAACCCTCACAAAATTTGACCAAGTAATAGACCGACATCGTACAACTCCGGATACACAAAACTTTGAAGAACCCTCAAACCCAATGAGCTTGCAAGCATCGAGATTCTCACTCAAACATTGTTCACAAAACAGTCCACTTTCCAGCCAACGCCTGGCAAATCATTGTGATACAATATGCCGCGCTCAGTGGATAACTACATACTGCAAAAATTTTGAAATATCATGTGTTAATATCACTTCAGAGAATTAGCTCAGGTCTAGGGTTTATTCAAAAACTTGAAGCAAGAGTTGTCAACCGAAGGATCCCGAATATTCCACTCTAACGACATTGATCATGAGAATTACTATAGTAATTAAATAAGTCGAAGATTACGGACCTTTTGCGTACCAAAGCATTGAAATATGCAAACAATATTACTGATTTTCACAAACCAATTACTTCATACATAATCCGCGTTTCACCTAACAGAAACATCAATTGCACGCAAATGCTTAAGAGAGTTTTAACATGTAAACTTAAGCAGGCTCGGCTTGATAATCATTCTTAGCAGGAAGCTCAAATTCAAGCATCAAGCTACTAAATGAACAATCATGTGCTTGAATTCAAGTGAGATCTCAAATCATCAAATTTTAGATAAATAGTTAAATTTCTTGAATGAAATGTTAGCAATGGATATACATTTTCTTTGGATACAGGATGAAAGAAAATAAATTGGTGACTTAGAATATGTCAATGTACCTATGATTCAAAAGTTTACGCCATATTTAGTCAATCAAATGTTCAAATACATTGTATCTACAGTATCCTTATGTTCAAATTCTAGTCATAATTTTAAATCCTTCCATCAAATCCTAAATGTGGCTCTTTAACCTTTGTAGTCAAACTGAACAAAGGGTTCCATTAACTCCGATACAGGGGAAGAAAAATATGCCTGAAAAATTAAATATTATACAGATGAAAAGCAAGGACATACCTGAAATGAAATCCTCATTACAGTCTGTCTCAACTTTCCCGTGAGCCATCGCACCAACCTGAAAAGACAGTATTAGAATAGCTACAAGTGCAAACAGTTAATATTCTAATATAAAGCCATAGCAATAGTTCTGAGCATACCGCAAAAACAAAGTCCGTACTGTTTTCAGCACTAGCAACATAATTCTGTATGTTAACCAATTTTTCCGAACTGTATGAGAAGCCTGGAATGCAAGAATACGTCTTCAGTTTTCGAAATAGATGACATAATGGTTGGTGAGGTCAAGGCTAAAGTGTGGCGTAAGGGTAGGATTTTAGTCATTAATAAACTCACCTATTTTACGAGAGTTGATGGGTAAATACTGTGTCACAGGGTTCTTTATGACACGCATAAGTTTCTCACGCTTACCAACAGCAGATATACTCAGTTTTTGTAGCAGCTGCACTGCAAGATGGTTGGCAGGATTAAAATGACAAATGGCCTTCACTAAAAGCAAATAACAGTGCTATTTTGCATAAGAATATGGGAATAGATGAACTTACACATCACACCAGAGAACCGCTTAAATGTCCTCGGGATACGAACATATGGCTTAACTTCAATAAGAACACTTGCTGCAGTTCTCACATACACGTTTCGCAACCTCCCAGCTTTATTAATTGGGCTATCTAAAACCATAAGGAGAGCCTGCAGACCACAATAGTTGGGATCTTATTACTTCTGTACACTTTCACATTTCCATTTACTTTTCATAAGAAACTAGAATCACTTTTTTCTTTTTTCTTATAAGAAAGAGAATCATGGATCGAAGGAATCAAAACCGAAACAGAGGACAAGAAGCCAAGTACACTAAAGAGCTCCTAACAAGCTAGAAAACGAAAAACACAGAAAAAGAAGCTTCCAGAATAACAGAACAAAGCACAAGGAAGCAGCAGTTATCCCATCACAAAATACAGAAAAGAAATAACTGCTCCTAAACTCTTGACAATTCCAAAGCCAAAATTGAACTCTATGCCACGAGTATTCCTATTCCCCCTCCATCAAACTTTCATACACCCTTCTATTACGTCCCTACCATCATCAAACACCCTTATTCACTTTGAGAAACCACATCCCATGGTGGTCTTTCTTCCCTGCTGCCACACCTTCGTATAAAAGGTTCCTCATAACCAGAATGACGAGCAATAGAACTTATACGGTTCGGCCACACCTTCATTTCATGTAATGGCCAGCAATATAATGCCAATTCAATTTTGAAACAGCTGCTTTGTACGGTTTGGAGTTGATCCTAATTTGTTTTCTAACTTATAGTAGAGCTGAAATCAAACTTCTATAGCAGCACACAAGTGCAAATTAATTCAATTTATGCTTCTTTACAAATAAATAAAACTAAAAAACCAAGAGCAAAAGTTGAATGCAGAAGTTCATGCAGAGAAGTTTCATTAAATTCAATAGAGAAGCAGAAATTGGCCAGAGTTTGCTAACCTGATGAACGATATCAGGCCTGTAAAGAGCAGGATCCTTGTTGTTCTTCCTCAGGAAATTTGAGTGGTCGTCAGAATTCAATAGCTGATAAGTCTACAATAAAAAATATAAAAAAAACCAGCTCAAAATTAAAAAAATATACACACAAAATTATACAAATAGCATAGAAAAATCAAACCTTTCCAACTTTGGCAACTTCCAGAGACGCTTTCTCAAGGATGAAGATAGCACCTGGTCCGTTCTTGGGGTTAATCTCTGCTGGGGCCAATGGAATACCCTCGAGCTCAATTGGGTTGCCCTCCTTTTCTTCTGATTCATTTCCTTTGATCCGTTTCTTATCGGCTTCCTCTGCCTCTGGTTCTTCTGGTTCAGCTGCTGCTGCTGCTACTACTGCTAATTCTTCTTCCTCTGCCCTGTCGTATACATCTGCATTCTTCTTCCGCTTCTTTCCCTTCATTGCATATGGCCTCACCATTTTTGTAGCTTGCAGTCACGGTTTATCAGTTTCTCAGAGACAAATGCGAGCAGAATATTTGGTTTAAATGGAGAGTATTTGCAGGGAGATTGTTTACACTTTACACTCCTATTTGGAGAAGACAACTACTTATCAGAGGTTTAGGGTTTAGGGTTTAAGGCAACATTTCTGAATTTTAGCGATAGGCCCAACCTGAACTTTGCTTTATTTTCTCATTTGGAATTTCATTTTTAATCTTTACACTTAAAACTTTTATTATGGTCAGAAGAGACTGAAATGTCTTCATAAGTCTTCTCAATCTTAAAAAAATATGAATAACCGTGACTTGTCAATTGTTGTTCCCTTTTTGAAAAAAAAAACACTTATCAATAATCATAACTTATCTGGACGCCTCAAGGTTTCCTTCTTCCCCTTCCTCTTTGCCTCCGCAAACAAAACTGATGAGTAAAACTTCACAGTTGTCCTCTTTGCCGAAATCCCAATAGAAGAAATTCACTTCTTCAAATCTCCACTAGAAAAATTCATACAGCAAACTCCTGCAACCATGAAGCTTAGTTTATGTGAAAGGGAGTGCTAATGTGAAAAGTTTTACTGAAAACTTCATCAATCTAATTCTTTAAGACAATGTATCAAGCCAAATTTCTAATATCATTTCCATTTTCCTTTGTGATTGATGAAAATTGAAGGATTTTGCAATAATGTGCAAGCTTTGAGCCTCATTCAACCATTGACAGGGTTCGGACTTTTGAGAAAGGCTCTGCAACCTTAAAAATAAACTTCCTTCATTTTGCAATTTGAATATCTTTTTACGTTTGATATTTTATAGTAATGTACTAGTGTTTTTTCATTAGGCTTTTTTTTGAGATATATAATACTTAAAAGGTAAATGTTTTTTTTTATATTTTGAAGTAAATTTATGTGACAATATAGTATGTAGATACTAATTTAGTATGACGTTTTTATTTGATTATTTGTTGAAGTAAAATATATTTTCTTTAATGGAAAATAGGTTGGGTCATATTATCCGTTAATTTAATGGGTGGAGTTCGAGTCAGGTTATATTACCCGTTTATTTTAACGACTTTGACAAGACATAAAAACGACACGAACATGACAAACACGACACCATCACCATGTCTACTCATTTCATAATTTTGCACTAGACACTAACTATCATGGTACATACTTTGAGAGCCATAGTTGGCACTATACTACATTCATCGACAGTAACTAGAAATTCTTTAAAAAGCACAAGAGGCACTGATTAATGATAAATTTATGACGTGTTTACGTACCTGTAATCAGAATCAAAATGTGGAATTGAATTCCAATTACGGAGTACTCCAGCTTTTCCTAAATTACTAGGAATTGAAAAAGTGGTGGGATCCACAAAAATTTTGAAATTCAATTCCTTCTTTTGGACTAATTGGACTCCTGAGATATATGAGGTATACCGTACTTCAATTCCGCCTGCTGTTAGGAATCCGGAATACAAATTTTCTACCACTTATATCCTCACTTTATTTTTAAAATTCTAGCACTACCCTTTACATTAACAGAGAAGATCCACACGCCCGTTCAACGCTAATGTCCAGTGCCACTCCCTCCCCCAACACCGCAACCACTGATGCCCAGCAGCGCAACCCAAACTCACTACTCCCACTCTCCGCCATATCTCTATGTTTCCCCATGAAAATTTTGAAATCAAATGCACTGGGTTAGAGAGAGAGAGAGAGAGAGAGAGAGAGAGAGAGGGAGAGAAAGAAGAAGAGGAAGAGAGAGAGGCCATGAGGGAGTTACAGTGAAGTTTATTTGCCATCAGATGCCCAAGACTTGAAATAGATAAACTTGAAATCATAATGGAATAGATTGAGATAGCAAGAGGTGGCAGTGAGGAGTGGGTGCCTTGGGAAGAAAAGATGAGTTTGGGGTTGAGTTATTTTTTATTTAAGTAAATAAATATTCACTTTTTTTTTTTTATGAATTATTATATACAATTTTATTTTATAGAATTTGAATAAGAGCATTTTTGTAATCATATTGAATTATATTCCGCTTCTAGTGAATTAGTAAACATTTAAAGGAATCGGTACTTTTTTTTACTTCGATTCCAAAAAATTTAATTAAACAGTTTCAATAGAAATCCAATTCCAACTTCTCCTCAATTCAATTCCTCTCATTCTGATTACGGATTAGTGAACAAGCCACTAATATAATTAGCAACCCATAAGAAACTTTCTATGGATTTATTTTTGTTCATGAGACCCCTTTGCAGCAGAAAGCTGCTTCTTAAGGCTGAGGACCTCTACTCCTTTTGAAGCAAACAGTTCCTTTAGCTTGACTGTAGCCTCCTCATACTTGCTGTTCATGTGGTAGGACTCGTCCAAAGCGTCCTTGTAACTACTTCTGAAGGCATCTAACTTTGCTTGTGCCCCTCGAAGCCTCGTTCGAAGCTTTGCCTTGTCTGCGCTGTTTTCGACTTAATCCTGTTCAAAGTATAGTAGGCCAAATTAAGGACTCACCAAAGAAAGATAATATTACTTCTTTTCTTGAAAGGATACAATTTCTGACAATGGTTTTAGATTTGTGATTTTCGATAAAAGAACTGTTATTAGTACTTTAAGAATCTCATTCTACGCTCTTCATAAATATAATTTTCTTTCTAATTATAAAAAGTTTGGAGTGCAAAATAGGGGTTTTGAAGTACTAATAATAATTCCCTTTCGACGACTCCACATGAAAAATTACTACTACATTTGTATATTTTAGGTTGCATTTTTTTTTTTACAGTCCCTGTGTTGAGACCACACTCTTAATATGGTGTAATGAAAATTTGTGGTGAACGCCATTAGCTATTAAGGTCCGAATCAAAATTCTGTTAGAAAATTTGTGGTAAACGCCATTAGCTATTAAGGTCCAAATCAAAATTCTGTTAGTCTTCCATTAAAAATGGAGGTTAAAATCGTCATTTCAAACAATGATGTAAGTCAAAAGCCACGAGCATAAGAGTTAGAGTAGGTCGTGCACTAACTAGAGAATTCGCGACTTGCTAATTTTTTAAATTAGAATTTCACAAATTGTGAGGCTTGAGCCCTAATCGTTTAAAGTGCTTTTGGAAAAAATATTTGAGACCAATCCTTAATAAAAATGCAAGTGAAACTTATAAAAGCTCTTGTAGTGCTTTTGGAACCTAAAAACATTTTTGCAAAATCACTTTCAGTCATTTTAACAACGCTTTCAAACGAGCACCCTAATCACAGTTTGCAATGGGTTTTGCAAGACGAGGAATATTGAAGAAGGTCCAAAGATACAAACACAAGATGGTTGACAAGTTTACGCACAAGAGTATGATCAAATAGAAGAGAGTCAACAGAGTAAGAGGCTTTGGGATGATGGTATTTGGCTACATTATACACGACAATTAGTACATGCTGCCATTATCAAAGGGATTTACCATTCAGCGGAGGTTAGATCAAGCATGCCATTTACTTTAGGAACGAGTAGATGCTGGGGTCTTTCCATATCTTTACATATGTGAATAATGCTGCTGTAATTAGGCTTGAAGAATGAAGCATATGAACTTGCAACTGGAAGACTAACAGAATTCTGATTTGGACCTTAATTGTTAATAAGGTTTAGCAAAGTCATTGTAATGTTTATTGAGACTTTCTTCTTCAATTGCAAATTTCTGCTGCTCTTGGATCTGAGTCACTAGTTTATCCCCTTCCAGAGCTTGTTGTTGAGACTCTGCAGACAAAAACCAATGAATCAAACAAACTGAATAAATTTTCAAGAATATATGTTAGTTTCTCCCTTGCCGACCCCACTTAGTGGGAAAGGGCTTTGTTGTTGTTGATGTTGTATATGTTAGTTTCTCCCTTGCTACTAACCACTATACTTTTTTTCCTGAACATTATGTAGTGGCTCATAAAGAACAGAAATGGAGATATTACCTGGCTGTCATTTGAAAGTTCCGATAACTCTTTTAGTCGAATCAACAAGCCTTCTCTTTCTTTACTCAGACATCTAAGCTCCTTCTGAATTCCGCATGTCTCCAAGTTTGAGCTCAACATCTAAATGGTTTAAAATTAAAAAAGGTGCATAACAAACACTGATAAATGTGTATTAACCATATTTTGAGCTAAAACAAATAACTCAATTCTTGGGACTGTTTGCTCAGAACATGATCTGTAATATCGTCCTTATTCAGTTGATCAATCCCGAAAGACTTCTCCACACTGCAACAGAAGCATAACAAAATATAATGTTTTGGTCTTCTAATACATCCAGACAAAAGTATTACAAATCTATGACATTCAGATTCAAGATGTGCCATTACATCCAGCAAAAAAGAAAAGAGTAATTTTATATTTACATGTTAACTTGTGACATTGTCCAGACTCCAGACAAACGTATTACAAATCTATCCAGATTCCAGACAAACGTATTACAAATCTATCCCATCTTTGGACATTCTTTTAACATTTTCTGAAGGTAGAAAATCACAGAAGAGCAGAAATATTTTGGCAAGCAGAAACTTTGTCCTAAACCTGCCGGATAAATGGAATAACAAACCTTAAAAGGGGAACACGAGTTTCAAGGGAATAGGGCAACAACCTATATCAAGGTAACAACACCCAACCCCAACAGAGCAGCAGAAGAAACCAGCCGATAATAAAGTGTGTGTACTAGTTTCTGAAAGTTGAGGCATACAATTCACGAAGTATAGATTAGAAGACATATACCATCTTTATCTTCTATTAGAAGGGTGAGCTGAAACTTAAAAATATAAAAAGAAGAGTTTGCTAAACTGCTCTAGGATTGAAGTAGGTTTGCTGAAAAAGGACCATGAAAATCTGTGACAAAGACCAGACCATGACCAAGATGGTGAGAAACGGTGGCAAAGCCACAATTTTGTCACCAAACTTCTGCCAAGCAGCTCAGTTCAAGCATTGAGAGCTGCAAAAACACTAGACCTTTTTCTGTAGCAGAGAGAGGGAGAGACGGAGAGAGGGTATCTAAGAAGACGTAAGTGAAGTGGAGAAAAATGGGGGGAATAAAAACTGAAACAAACCTGAATGTCTTCTGTCCAGCTGTTTCCTCGCAACAAGTTAATCTTCCCATAAGGAACTTGCATTCTTGTCTACAAGACTCCAACTCATTCCTCACCTCACAACCAATAATCAAGTAAGAAATAATGTGGTTTTGCA